GAGATTATCTTGCAATTACAGGTAATAAAATATATATTTATTGATTATTTTAAGGTTTATTAAATATTAACTAAAAAATTTTTTTTAATAAGCAACGAGCGTTCCAGTAGAACGAGTTTTTTTCTGGCGGCGCCAATTTAATAGCAACCAAAAGATGTGGGCTTAAAGCTAACACAATTCGCGTCTGTATGTGTTTGAAATCCTGGTGGCAATAAAATATATATATAAAATTTTTAAGTTAGGATTTATGCGCAACCAAAATAAATAAAACTTACAAATTTAATAAATATACTTCTTTTAAATATCCGTTTAAATAAATTAATTTCGGTATTAATATTACCCTTGAAAATTCGAGTCGAATCCGAGTTAAAAAATAATCGGGTCGGGTCAAACAATAATCGGGTCGAGTCGAGTTCGGGTCTTGTAAATATTAACGGATTCGAGTTCGAGTTTGCTTCAAACCCGACCCGACCCGACCCTTACGGAGTACCACTCCCCACGTTCTCTCAAAATACAAATGTAATTAATGTCACTATTAATTACGATGGCAATTATTCCAAAGGAAACAGTTCAGAAGAACAATAAGAAATAGAGTATTTTTTTTATAAGTATTGTTTGTATAGCATTTTTAATGATCTAGCTGTTTTTTTTTTTTTTTTTTTTTTTTTACAACTATAGCTATGTTAATAGACCGACCTCCCCGACAATTGAAAAGAACAATTGGAGCAAAAAAAATAACTATAAAATTAATAGAATGCGAAAGCAAATGTAATAATTAATATCACTTGTAAAACGCATTTTAAAAATTTCAAAATAAAATCTTTATTATATTTTTGTAAAGTAAAGGGGCCGGCCGGCTAAGTAAAAAATGAAACTGATAAAATATATTGGAGTATATCACGTTTAAAGGGAGGAATAAAGCACGAAATGAAATAATATCATGCTTTCTGCCGGCCTTTTGAAATTTAGTATAAAATATTAATGCAAAATTAACTTTGGATGTTGCTAAAGAAATAGCACGTAGTGAATGCATCTATGAAAGGTATATCAATTGTCAGATGCCAACGTTTTGGAAATGAGCTAAAGATCATTTATGTTAAAGTGATAAAAATTTGTGCGAAATTTCTTTATTATTTATTATTTCTAATCCCAAATTTGCATAAAAGCATATCTATACAATTTTTTTATTTCAATAAAAAAGATAACTATGCTATATAGGTTTTTTGTAATATAAACTAATTTATTTAAAATAAGCTGAAAATGACTGAATAAAACTTTCGAAAACTCACTATACATACATTGGCGGTGCTTGATAATCATCACTGAAATTTCTAATCATTTGATCTACGTACGGTTGTTCATCTAACTTACAACATTCCCTTAACGTCATTAACTTTTTTCGAGCATTCATATTAAATTTTTCTTTATCTGACATATCATTAATAATATCCATCATCCGATCTTCATGATCATCTGTTTTAGTCACGTATTCAAGAAATTTTGCCCTTCTTTCAAGAGGCAGAATAGATTTTACTGAATAATCGATGAATTTTCCCGTCCAAGATGCATGTGCAATTCCTTCTTTAAGTATAAATTGTTGGATAACCGCAAATGCAATACTACGATCTCCAATATTACAGTTAGCAATGCATTGTTCATTGTCTTTTTCCATAAAATAAAAAATATTCCAGTAATCATTACAGTCGGTTAGCACAACCATTGTATGAAGAATATGCATAGCATCAGCTAATAATAATTCTCCAATGGCCTGAGATTCTTTGCAGTCTTTCTCCGCTTTTTTCACTTCAACCCAGACACATCCTGTGCCACTTGGTCCCATAGAAATGTCGGATCCACCGGTTAACGTAACGTTAGCCATTCGCAAACGTCGTTGATATTTTGTTTTTGCATGAATATCTTCTATTTTGAATCCCTTTGGTAACTTTAGAATCTTCGTAAACCATTCTGTGACATCGTCCATTTGTTTGTTTTCATCTGTATTCAAATCCCATTCAAACGAGTCGCAATGTATAGGATCAATTGGTATGAAATCATCAATTGATAACTAGATGATATACAACACAACTTAGTACTGAAGAATAAAATAGAGAGGCTTTTAGTATAGAAAGGAAAAACTTACTTTTAAGAACTTTATTCCTACGTCATTTATAATCTTCTGAATTCTTACATTCGAAAGATTTGACACTGATATTTCCTCTTGATTTAGCTGTTTAAAAGCTTTTTCCACCGAATTTTCCACAATTTCTCCTACCGATTCTTCCAATATTTTTTCCACCGAATTTTCCACAATTTCTCCTACCGATTCTTCCAATACTTTTTCCACAGAATTTTCCACAATTTCTCCTACCGATTCTTCCAATACTTTTTTTACTGTTTCGTTTAAATCGCTTAAAGATAGTGCTTTTATATAAGCGCATGTTAAAGAATAAAAAAGGTTAGCGCGTCACGCTTTAGTTGACAAATCATTACGACGCAAAGGCTTACCTTGATGTTCATCTAAATTGGGTTAGGAGACCAAATAAGACAAAGTTAGTTACTGGATAAGAATAGTACTATAGTAGGTCTTTTGACGAGTAAACCAACTTACTGCTGATTAGAAAGGCTTCGTTAACTTGTTCAGATGTGGCTTCAGGAAAATGCTTTTTGTACTCGGCGAGAAATTCTAAAAATTCCATCTTATTTTTTATTTAGTTGTACTATAAAATTTTGTAAGAAAGGATTAGATGTAAAAAATAAAAAATAAAAAAAATGTGAGATTTATATATTATTTTAAAATTTAATTTTTATCATGTGAGCGTGTCTAATATAATAAACTTTATTAAACTTACGCGTATTGTAAGTCTAAATAAAATATGAGATTTTTATTAATAATCATTGAAAAAAATAAGTAATAATGAAACATTTTGATTCAATTTATTTTCTGATAGCTGATATTTAAATTTCGGCATTTTGCATTTTTTCTAATAAATAAAAATTATAATAAAAAATTGCTTAAATATTGTTTTATAAAATATAATTGTAATGAAAAAAAATTAACACTGATTTTACCGATTTTTGATTTTCAGAACTGGAATCTGCCGATTAATCGTTCCAAAAATCGATTTTTGCCAATTCGACTTTCGATTTGGTTTTTGAAACAATTCCAATTCCTAATTCAGGTTGAATATTGTTAAAGAGTCAAGTAAATTTGGTAAGCAAGCAAGTATCGTTAAGGAATCGGGTAATGTTGGTAAGATAGTAATTTGAGTACCATAACAATAGAGTTTTTTTTAAGAAGTTGGGTAAAGTTGATAAGCATGTAATCTGAGCATTATTACAGTTAAGTCAAGTCTTTGTAATTTTAGATTTCTTTGTAATCCTTCTAAGGTATTGAATATGTCATTCTTATTAAATTATATAATTTGTTAAGCTAACTATTTTATCATCGTAAATGATGACTAATGTTTCATTATTCGATTCTAATTCTTCTAAAATTATCTGACTAAAAGTAAAGTAATGAATTATTCGAGATAATCCAGAATAAGGGTTGTTCTGAAAATTGAAAGATTGATTTTTCATTATTAAGATGTTCATTTTCTTTTCTATTATATTAGTTTTTTTAATAATCGCATTTAATTCTTCAACTACTTTATTCATAGAAGGACAATTGTCTGGCTCATTATTCCAGCATGAGAACAATTTAATGATAGAAAAGTTATATTTAAATTTAAATTTATAAAAATATATTTACCAGTATATATTTTTACATAATCTTCAGGCGTACCAGGAATAATGCTTTCTCTTTTTCCTTGTGAAATATTGATAGCTAGATAAATGTCGTAATCTTTACATCCAGCATAAAAAGGAGGACGACCGCTAAATATTTCCCATAATAGCACGCCAACACTATAAACGTCACTTTTCACAGTTAACGAATCTTGTTGCAATGTACTGTCATTTCACTGTTGTTCACTAAATCTTTTCGGATCAATATAAGGAATTGCGCCAAAGACCCTTGTCTGATTAGTTGCCACTTCAATCCTTTTCGATAATCCAAAATCGGCAAGTTTAATCATGCCGTGACGAATTAATATATTGCCGGAATGCTATTGTATAAAAAATTACATTGTAAAATTATTAAAGCAAATAATAAATAATATAAGAGAAATATATAAGTTAAGATTACCAAATCACGATGCACAATTACTTCTTCATGTAAACACGAGACAGCACTAGCCAACTGGAATGCAAATGAGTATTTATCATCCCAAGTAAGATTTTCAAAATTAACCTTCTAATAGGTTTTAAGTGCACCACCATCGGCATATTCCATTACTAACCAATACTTTTTCAATAGAATATTATTAGTTTCTAATTAATTTTTTTTTATTTTAAAAATAATATATAAATGCGTTAAAAAAAATATCAACATATATCTTTAATAAATTTATTATGAAAAAAAAAAATACTTTGTTTGGAAGTTATCCCATAGGCGAATCATGGAAATCAACTTCACGTTGAAGTTCGAGCTAAATTATTACAAGTATAAATTTAGATTGATATATAAATTGTTTTATACTAAACTGACTGAAAAATAGAGACCGAAACACATTTATATATTGTAAGTTAACTCACGAATTATTTCTTTAACGGTGGCATTTTTAAAGTTATGAAACGATTTTAACGCAAAAGGTTTTTTTTGAATTTTTCCAATTTGCACGATAAAATTTTCCAAAACAACCAGTATCGATTGTTAAAATGGTTGTATTATAAGTATTTGACATTTTTGCTTGAAATATATTTTCAATCCTATTAATCCACTCATTTAAATCATTTACAATTTGCATTTTAAATCTTTTTTTATTTGTTTATAAGAAATGAAAAAAAAAATCTTGGAGAAAAGCAAAAAAAAAAATGCACTTTGTAAATCATGTAACGTTAATAAAGTTTATAAGCCACCGTTCATTAATCTTTTTCCAAAATTTCGGGAACACAATTTCCAACTATATATTATTACCGAACTTGAAATGAACTTGAAAACGACTTTGTTTATTGATCAATTCTAAGCGATAAAGCTTCAATGTTAATCGAATTAAAATCCCAATCGATCATACAATTTATACAATTTATCAAGAACATCTTCAGTCATCCTATCTTTGCTCTTTATATCATAAGGTGATAAAATCAAATGTCGATCTTATTTGTGCAATATTTTTTTGTCAATATTTTTTCAAAAATTAATTTATCGTATCGATGTACAGTTTTTTTTTTGCATTAATATGTCGTACTTTCTTTACAATTTGGATAAAAAAGATCTCTACCCTGGTTAAAGATTTTATATTAATTATTTCTTTAATAAACTAATGCGACTCTACAAGTGAGGTGGCGTCTGTGACAATCAAACATAGCGGCGTGACAGATTATGTATTAGTCACATGACCTGAACTTTTTTTGATGGGAACATATTTATTAATAAAAATAATGGTATATGACTTTTTTACCGATAATAAATTTGCCATAACAATAATTCTAATAATACCTGCTAATTCAAAAGAACATGAAATGTCAAGAACTTCATAACCACAATTTATAGGTAGCGAGTTAACTAAAACTACGTGTATTATATATAATCTTTAAGATTTCGAGCTATTCAATTCTATGAAGGTGAATAGTTCCTCCTCCTTTATTTTTGAATTTATTTCTTGCAAATTGAATTAATTTTTTTTAACGAAAGCATTTAAGCGTACGTAGATATCCTTCATGGCTTGCAGATCCGAATACGAGATTTACAAGATTTAATTCATCCATTGAATGAAACTTTAAATTAGAGATTGGAATCGATTAAAATAAGTAGTATCGATTATATAATTGATTAATCGTGAATAATTAATTATTTCTCGAGTTTAGATTCTAAAATTCGAATTTCGGTTTCGATTAATCGACTGACTCTTTTTATGGCGTAGATCACAATTAAAAATATTTGCATTTTACATTGTGGCAAATTTATATTTAATGCAGCTTAAATTCTCGAAAAGATTTAATTTTAATTATAACTTTTCGAAGTTATTTAGAATTCTTTTTTAAAAAATAAACTTCCATAGTGGTTAAAAATCATCTATTTTTTTTTTTATAATTATTATTTTTTATTCTTTATTTCGCAATAATCAAATTATCTATTACTATTTTTAAATCATTAGATTCTTAGATATGCTCGCGGTATGTGTATTTTTAGATAATAATTAGATTATTTTTTTGATTTTTAATAATCGATTTTTTTACTTATTAGTTTTAATAAAATCCTTTTATTATTTTTTTTCTTAATTTTTTAATTAATTACTTACACTTGCAGCATTCTGATCATTTACATTATAATTTATTTTAATTGTTATACAAATTATTATAAAGGTACCTAGTTTTCTTTAGCCGCACTTATCATACCACTAAATATTAGAATTTTGAATTTGATTAATTTAATGTTGGTAAAATTGATTCCAATCTCTACTTAACTAGATTTGATGCAAATAAATCAGTTAAATAATTTCAAAAAACATGCACTGAATAGATTTTACTGATTTCTCAAAAATCTAATGATTCCAAACAAAATTATTTGAAATTTTCATGTTTTTAAAATTTTGTTTTCGATGCTAATTAATCATGCTTGATTACTATTAAGTTTTTATTCAATTCCAAAATATGACAAAACATTCCGATTTGGATATTAATGATTTCTACAGAAAAATTGCTTAGAGAAGTGAGATTATCAAATGAATGATCCATTAAACATAATTTCTTCGATCTAATTAATTAAAGAAAAATCGCTCTAACAATATATATAGACTTCTTTATAAACCAGTCAAAAAAGGGCACTGCATAAATGTTAAGAATTAAAGGAATTAAAATACAAAGATTTCCATTTCCTTTATGTAAAAACCGGTAATAATTAAAATGTCCCAAGAAATTAAATTAAATTAAAAATTAAATTGGTTACCATTTTTACTTATCGAGAAATGTTGAAGTATCACATTCTCTATTTGTGTAAAATGTCATCTGAAATAGTAAAAATAAATGAAATTATAATATTTTTCAACTTAACATCTATAAAATTCTAACTAAATGATAATGTTAATAGTTATCTAAAATTAAATGTTATTTAATATTAAAAAAAATTAATGTAAATATCATCTCTACTTTATCCACTGAATTGATGTCTTAAGTTAAATATTTTCATTGGTAAAAATACGTAAAAAGCCAACGTTGCGATATAACCTTAGCTCCTTCACAATTATATATTTATATCATCATTCCATTATAACATTGTAGATAACTTATAAACGCAGCTATGAAATAGCATAATAATAACTGGAATTACTAATTTAAATTATTATAATTATTCAATATTCAAGTTATAAAGCAATTGGTAGATAGAATTGTCTCAAATCACTTACTGAATATAAGTAAGTGACATTATTTGATCATACAACTGTGATAAATATTCAATTTTTATGATTGTAATTATCTCGTGATCATTTTATTTAAAAATTTATACTGTTTGCTAATGAACTTAATATTATTAGATTGCATATCTAATAAAGTGTCATTATATTATACTGAAGTAATAAATTTTTACAAGAAATTATTTATAAAAATACTACTACATTTTAACCTTTATGTTTATAGAAATGAAAAAATCTGCTGA